TGGGCAGAAATTTGAATCAGTTTTAAAAGTTCGCTTACATTGCAAATAATCATTAATTGAATCATATGTTTAACTTGCTGATAAGACACAGGTTCCCAACATAATTTCATCAGTTTTATTACTTTTACCTGACTGACAGTTATACAATTTATTACTTCAACTCAATTACTGTCCGCATAAATTTCCATCCGTTCCCCTAGAAAAATATATCCACACTCATAGCAATCATTTACCAGATTTATTTTCTTTTCGAAACCCGTAACACTCCTACAGCACTCGAGTATGCATATGCAAGCGACTTTGGCACCTCTATCCCGCAGGAAAAGAACACTTAAACCACGAAGCGTGGCTATCGTTTTGAAGATTCTCACTTCCTCTTCAGCTTCAGCTCAATATTTTGATGTACATACATAGTCGAGTGTACTCACTTCCATCGTAAGACCTTCCGAAAACGTCGGCTCGAAATGAAAGAAAAATAAACAGCAAGACTGCGCTCCCTGGGAAGCGCCAGGCAATTCCCCCTGAAACATCGTTCCGAGGGAGGAGGAAAATTACCGAAAATCAACATTTTAATAAAAACGAATCGTCTGTCCGCTTGCTGGATGGAGGTAGGAAAATTAATGCCTTCGCACATCTGCAGCATTATTGTGCTTTTGAAAGACAACGTACGAAAGACCGAGACGTTCTCGTGAGGTGCAGATAGAAGAGATGTACGATTGCTGGAGAAGTGGGTGTGAATTTGTTTTGGGGCAAACACAGTTACGTAGTGATGAAATTTCGGCTCATCCAAATCTAGCAGGTATGTAGTGGTTTTTCACTGGAACGAGCCAAACTGTAGTGGATTCTTATGCTGCTCCACGAGGGTGCTCGGTGATGGGCAGCTCTTTTTTCTCTTGGCATTGCGCAAATGTGTGTTTTCAGTGGTGATTGTAGTGGTACGAAGAAGCAAGTTGTAATCTTTTGAATTGGCAAATATGCGTGAGAAAATCTAACGTTTGTGGACTATTAGATTTATTACACTGTCAAGGCCTTCAGAAGTTCAGGTCTGTTGAACTATAAGAATTACTTTATGGCGGAAACGTTTTGTTTGGTTTTCAGTGTAATATTTGTCGACACTGTACGGAAAAGTTGATGTTCTGATGTTAGCAACTTTGAATTTCTACGTTTTTTATCATTCCCGAACTGTCTACTTAACTCCGAGCTATTGTTTAATGCCGTAAAACGGGGTGAAGTTGATCATTGAAGTAAAGTTGATCAATTTTCGTTTCACAACAATTATTTTTCATGATATTTTTGTACGATACTTTGTTTAGTATTTCATTAAGTAGTACTTTTGAAACTTTTGCTTGATAAACGATACATTCTACCACTCAAATATACAATTTGGAGGAAGTGATAACTTTTAACTGTTTCTAAAAATCCTACAAAAATCAATATTGATTCTGGTGCTGTGTTCGGTGAAATAACTTATTGATTGTGAGTCCCTGAATCCGAATCTGAAATCAGATTTCGGTAATATGAACGATTTCGTACCATATAAATGATTTTATGTGAAACACTAATGTTAATTGCCTACATTTAGGCATATCCTTTTTTTTCTCTGTTCGGGACATAACACCACTTCGACCAGTAATTTGATCTAGTGTCCTTAGTTTAGTGCATGTCGTAAAAATCAATCACTATTGAGAAATAATTAAGTATTCGATTTTGATACAATTGTCATTCTTGCCTTCATCACAAGGAATCGATTCTAATTGAAAGGTCCTGCAATTTATACCCTTCGAAAAGTGCGAGCACCCTCGAAAGGTACGCCCCTTTTTCAGTCAAAATTGGATCCCTTAGTAACAAAATTAAGTAATGACACCGATAACGACCATGTATCAGAACCCTAGTCTTAACCACTTCAAACAAAGCCGAGTCTTGCCACTATCAACAGCACGTTAAAAGTAACAAGGACTAAGATGTGTTCCTTTGATTAATGAAAAATCCTGTTCCCCGCATATTTGAAGTAGTCAGGACAGGAATCGATGATAGATCTGACATCCATCAAAATATTTGCATTTTTACTCGAATTTTAATTCGAAAAAATAAACCAAACATGGAATTTAAAAACTGAATACATATATTAAAAATGAATTTGCTAGTACACGTTTGAGAGGTATTTGATTGTATGCCAAACATGGTTGGAAAAATATTCTCGTTTATCGGTAAAAAGTGATCAACTTCTCCCATTTTACGGTTCCTCGATTAGGAATACAAGTTTTGAAGTAGGAAGGCTGAAATACTGTTAGTAATAAAATGATAAATTTTATCAAAACATAACATAAAAACATAGAGCATAAAAAACATAAAACATAAAAACATAACATAACATAAAAAAATAGAGCACAATGACATTTTCTTTGTTATAAATTAGACTATTTGATAAGAAAACTACAGTTTATTTACTAAATAAATTATCACTTAGGGGTTGTTCATTACCTACGTAGACAATTTTTTGGGATTCTTGACCCCCTGCGTAGACAATTGTCCATAAAATTTGTTTTTAATTTGTATGGGCCATGGATAATTATCAACCTCTCCTAAACTGTCTACGTAGTTTATGAAAAGCCCCTTATTGACGCATAGCACAGTGAAGTAAACTGTAAAAAAACAGGACAAATTAATTTTGCAAATTTACACAAATTTAAACATCAGTTCTTTTTTTTCGACTCCAGCTCCGACTCTGGCTCCAAATTTAATGAAAAATAATTTTAAACCAGATCATCCCAAAAGTTGGTCCATGAGCACGTTTTTTGGCTAGTGACCAATTTGATTGAATTTAAATGCCTATCATGGAAACTAGATCTAGATTTAGATCTAACAAACGTCATCGCAAAACTATAAACTTTTGTGTGTGTCTTATTTTTTTCAATTTTCTTTAAAAATGTCTGAATATGTCTATTGCTATTTTAATTGAGGCGGGGACAGGTTTTTTAGAGCATAAATTAAAAAAAAAAACAACAAAACAATTAAAAATTTGTTTAATGTTTCTAAATTATTGATGTTTTATAACAGTTAGAAAATTTCAGTACAACTCAAGTTTTATCGAGGTTTAAAAGGATTCTTCAAGTCTAAATCATGGTCTACAGAACCTTCATAAAACCCGAATTGTTACTTGGGTAGTTTGAGTAAAATTAAATACAAGTATGAATGTTTCCATCACCAGTGGTATGAATTATTTTACATTGTACACTCAATTCTGATTTTTCGCAATTTTTTATCAGAAATCAAGAAATCAGGAAAAAAAAACATCACAACATCAAATTTTGATTTAAATTTGATCTCAGACTTTGCTCGAGATTTCAGCATCACGTTTTTCTTTTATTTCTGATTTTTTGAAACAAGTTGCATTAAATTTGACTTCAATTTGAGAGGCGCAAAAAGATCGCGTAAAAACAGAATTGAGTGTATTAGACTTCTCATACGCTCAAAATAATGTTTTCGAAATATCAATTATAGGTATTTCAATAAACGTATACGTAAACGTAGAACCGATACCTCAATCGAAAGGGGAAAATATGTTATGAAGGTAATAGAAACATGCGTTTTTTATGCTAGATGATGTGGTACAGACGCCTCACGCTCCAGGCCTTTCCAGAAGTAGCGAGACAAAATTTCCGCAAGATCGGTTTTCACAGATGGATCACGTATAGAGGCGTCCACTGGTTTTTGCATTTATAATGAACTTCGTAGCACCTCTCGAATGCTTCAAGCTTCTTTTTCCATATATGTTACTGAGCTGGTGTCAATATACTATATGCTAGAAACTATCGCCTCACTTTCACCGGATCACTATTTCATTTTTACGGATAGTCTTAGTTCTGTTGAGGCTATTCGCTCCATGAGACCGGTAAAGCACTCCTCGTATTTGCCCATGAAAACACGAGAGCTTCTAAGTGCTTTATCCTTAAGATCTTCTGTCTTCACCTTTGCATGTGTCCCATCTCATTGCTCGATTCCGGGCAATGAGAATGCGGACTCGCTTGCAAAGGTGGGCAGTATGGATGGCAATATTTACGAGCGCCAAATCGCCTTTAATTAATTTTTCTTCATTTATCGTCAACAGTCACAAAAACATTAAGTAAATTTCGTTCAAACTATTAACTATGTCACGTTAGATTTTATTCTAATGAAATCATCTGACATAAAATAACACGAAACACCTTGTTTGTTTACAACAGAAAACAAAGGATGGGAGCAGTGAATTTTATTTTTATTGTATTTTGAAAATTCATTTTTTGAAAATACTTGATGTGATGGTTAATTCTGATGTTATGCGTTTGAGTATCATTAATTTAAGCAATGAATATTTTTTTTTTGGATTATATTCTATACATATCCATCTATACCTATAGACTGGAAAATTAAAAAAGTTACAGACATTTTTTGATGTCCGTTTGATAGCTTGAACAGTCCTTAGTCTCATGAAGGTGAATGCAACCGAAAAATATATGTAAAATACGAATTCTACAAGTCATTCGTCAAGAAATTTATGATTTGTAGATGTTTGACTTAAAAACGCTTGCAAATTAAATTAAAAAAAATAAACACAGTATTTAATAAGCAAAAACAAAAAATTAATCTCCACTGCTCAGTTCAAAAAAGGCTTCAATTCAAACACAATATCAGTAGAATAAAATCTACCGACTAACGAACGGTTTCAAGAATGCAAAAACTCATCATTCGAACGTTCTTAGTATACATTAAATTCAGCAAGAAATTAGCATATCCAAAATTCCAACCTCAAGCGAATTTGCTTGCAATCTTGTTCTATGCTAATTTCAACCGCAACACAAAGTGATATTCGCGTCACCACCCCAAAAACAGCAACGCAAACAAAGCCGGGCTCCAATCCATCAGCTTTCCCGCTGACCACAGACAACGAACTAACGGGAATTGGAATTCAACAACAAAAATGTGTGTGTGTGTGTGTTTATAATACCATTAGAAAATCTCACCTCTTTTTTGCACACGGTATCCTTCGACTGATCCTCCGGGAGTCAAAGCTATGATCAGCAGAACGCCATAGAGCAACAATGTGGGAGAACCTCTTCCCGGGAAAAACCACCAACGACCGTCTCCAAGCCCTAACTGGCGCTTGATGCTATCCATCTTGAACAGGATAGTATTAATACACATCCTCTTATCACACCTTTTGTAAACCACTTCAATTGTCGATTTTCATCTCATTCGGAAACACGAATCATTCTTTTCCTACATTCGTAGATCATTGATCAAACTATTCACTTCACCACTGTGGGTCACACACTTTCAAGGCCAAATTTGGGTCAACCACTTCTTAGACAAAAAATTATGGACACCTTGGACACAAGGGGGAAAAAACGCGCTCTCTTCAAACACGAATCTCCAACCAAAAGCCACAAAAGCAAATTATCTTTCTTCCAGCTCAACCTGACAACTCTAATTGCTCCCGAAAATAAGATTCTTGCACAAAGTGTACAACTGTTGCAAGACACCACCTAACAGCATCCCGACGAACACGTTTGCTCTTCTATCGCTCATCCATATGCAGGCAACCGTATATCACACAAATCTGGAAACGCGTAAAAGAAAAATCACCGCAAGATCAGCCTCATTCGCACATCTTTTTCCTCCACAACGGCCACAAAAACACTGGAACGAATCTTGGTCAACCGTCAGCCAGTAGTGTCAGAGAAACGTAGAAAACGTCCAACGATGCAACAACAACAGGAACGGGGTTCAAACAGGTCCAGTTCGGACGGCAGTCGCAACACGAATAATCGCACGCTGGAAGCAAGAAAGAGGAAAAGGTGCGAGTGCTGCCTGAGCTTTTTTCGCCGCAACTCTGGCCTGGCCTGGCCGTGTGCAACTTCTTTGGGTGATTTGGGAAACTCGGGCTCCGGTGCAGCTCTCCATGCCTATAGCAGGCCTCGGTATGGCTTGGAAGAGGAGCAGCATTATATTTACCTATTGCTTGGCATTGCACTTTGCCACGGTGGATGGTTCGGGTTGATCCGCGGGGCAGGTTTGGGAGTGACAGCACCCGCTACGTTGCTGCTATCAACGGTGAGAGCTTTAAAGGCGGGCAAAAATATGGCACGCGTTTTGTCGCACAAGCTGGCATATCCAAAATATTCGAGAAAAAATAATAATTTTGAATAGCTGGTAACGATTGCGTCAATTTTCTGGAATCTCATTTGGAAATCAAAACAAGCAATTATGAAATTATATAATTAATAGAACATTAAACCTAGCGACTAAGAATAAGAACTAAGAATATAAGAAAAATAAGAATCATGTGCTGGAGAATAGTAAATTAAATTGCACGCGTTACAATGGTTTGGCGGAATTTGACCCTTTCTCTTAGAGCCTACACGCATGGCTAACCGAGGCTGTTAGCACTTAAATGCAATAATGTTGATACCTCATACTTTAAACATTGGCAGAATATAGTACTCCAGCAGAAGAAAAAACATTAAAATTAGCATTACTTATCGTCTACTGCAGTATGGGACCAAAGACTTCATACAAAATTAGAATCATGATCATGACACCTTTTCTTAATATTTCTTAATACATACTTAATGATTTTTAAGTTGGTATTTCTTATAATTCGTTATAATCATCAAACCGTTTTCATAAGCATAAATTTCACACACACAACACTCAATTTTCACTCAGTACTAATGATATAAAATTACTATCTAAAATCCACACTTATTGGTTGAAATTGTTCATGTTGATGTCAGTCTACGTACCAATATATTTCTTAAACTTATCGTTTAAAGAATGTTTCATAAAAATAAGAACTACAATTATCACTAGTTTCATAGATAGAACACTCGAATGGGTACAACCATTTGTTTTTAAGAAATTCCTGTTAATAGTGGTCTGGTTTAAGCAAGAAGGAATAGAAACAACATCGATGATTAAAGAAATCTTAAGGTGTTCATCTTTACCGCCTTTCCACTAGGCAATTAATCGATCATATATTGGATGGTTCGATTGGCGACGACGTAGTCTCTTTTTAGCAATAAGCTCTCTTCGGTTGATTTATTTTATTGCGCATGCCAAGCACTTATTGCTTGAGTCTTTGCTCTACTGCACAAAGTTGAAAGTCGAGTAATAACCTAAGTTCTAAAATAATAAAACTTGTCGGTTCCATTCAGTGGCACTGACTTAGAGGGGTGACGACACTTTTTGAAATGCTTAGCACCACCCACATTAATCTACAGCACGTGCACTTTTACTCATCTCCACTTACTCTTACTCAAGAAACCGATAGTATCTCGGGCAAGTTTTAAAGTATTCAGGGTCATGTTCTCCAATTTTGATAGAAACAGGCCTTCTTGTTTCTATGGATAAATCAGAGTATTTCAAGAGACAGTTCAGAAGACTTGTGATTAACGTCAAAAACATTTCAACGTCTAGCCAGTTATTTTCCGATCATTATGAGGTCTTTTGTTGTGACCGCAATCAAGCCGACAGCCGTAAGCCCACACAGTGGAGTTGTTTTAACCGCTGCTAACTCCATACTCAAAGCAAGAATTATCCAGAACGGTTTGTGAGATTGCGTCGAACAGGTCTAGGAGTTAAACTTGACAATCGTGTGTTTTCCTATGATCCCTTTCGATCGTACCCACGATTATGTATTCATCCGTTCTCATGCACAGTTAGTTATAATCGTTCTTGAAAAAGCTTATGCAGTCGAGTTGCATAGCGCCGGTTTTTTTTGCGATTTTATTCATCCTGACCTTAAAAATTCGGTCTAGCACGCTGGCTGGAGCTGCTCAACTTCCATACCTACAACTACAGTGCAGCTACGCTACTGCAAATCAACGTCTTATCAACTCTTATTAATTGAGAAGTTGTGCTCGATAACATCGACGTTGAAATTGCACACATTCACTAATATTTTGGCGTATGTTGTCGATAGACATATGACTAAAACGGGTCATCGAGACGATGGTTGTCATCCATAGGATGAAATCCATCCAGAGAGGTTAGGTTTAAGAGATTCCAAACTACCACGGAGTGACCCGGAAATATTACGTTAGACTGAACTTAGGTACAAAAAAAGCTACACTGGAAAACTTTTCCTGCTACCAGCAGGACCTACCGTGCAACTGTCTAATCCTAAGAATTGCTAGAAGTACGTAAACGATCGGTGAAAACAATCTGGTTTCCCTTCTGCAATGAAGTTAAGAGTTAACGTTGCATCTAGCCTTGAGGAAATTTGCTAGCTCTTCGCAATCAACGTTCGTTA